CTTTGTTATTCCATATAAATTTGAGAATCAAATTCAATGAAAAATCTATGATTTTGATTGGAGTTTCATTGAATCTAGAAATAAATTTGGGAAGAGTTGGTATCTTTATGATTATTGAGTATGACTAGTTATGAACATGTAACATCAGTCCATTTATTTTGAGCTTCTTTTATGTGTTTTTATAGAGTTGTTTATAAATTTTGATGACTAGGTCTTGCAATTTTTTGTTATACTTAGTCCCAGGTACTTTATAGTTTTCATTACTATTGTAAATGGCATTTTTATTACAATATCTAAATCTTTATTGCTAATATAAAGATGCAATGAATTTTGAATATCCATCTTATAGTAGGTCACCTTAATTAATCTCATAATTTATAATCACTTGAAGATTTTTAAGGGTTAAAATAATCACATTTAATAGAAATGACAATTTTAAATGAAGATAATTGTATTATCTGCAAATAATGTTTCAGTTTCTTCCTCTTTGAAAGGAAGGAAATGCACTGTAATTACATACAGGGTTTACAACTTGGACTAGTTTCCTCTTCTTTTTAAAGATGGGGATGAGGATGGCTCCCACCCTGTGCTATTGTATTTTTTCTTCTTTTAGCCCAAGTTTCACCCTCAATTATGATGTATATACTAATTATGTGTCTCTATATTTACCATTGGCTGTAGGAGCCTTTCAGCCAGGGAGGTAAGGAAATAATATGCTGATGAGACATACCAATGAGTGGACACATATATAATGAGTGGCCAGATTATTATGACCACCTGACATTTGTAGGCAAATTAGCCATACACTGCATCGTATGGGATATGGAAGCCAAAGTCCTGTTTGTAACACCTTTGCTGTCTGCAGTTACCAAGATAAAACGTCTCCAATTCGCATAGGAACACAAGGATTGGACAGTTGAGCATTGGAAAAAAAGTCATGTGGTTCGATGAATCATGTTTCCATTTGCATCATGCAGATGGCAGAGTGAGAATTTTGAGGAAACAGCATGAAAGCATTCACCCCACATGCCTGAGTACAACCCTTCAATCTGGTGGGGGCAATGTTATGGTTTGGGGCATGTTTTCCTGGTATGATCTGGGCCCTTAAATTCGTGTGGAACAACATTTGAATAGCACAACATACCCAACATACCTAAGTATCATTGTTGATCAAGTTCATCCTATCATGTTGATGGCGTATCCCAATGGAGATGGATTCTTCCAACTAGACAATGCACCATGCCACAGTGCTTGTATTGTGCAGGAGTGGTTTTAAGAACATGAGAGAGACTTTACCTTGCTTAGGTGGCCCCCACAATCACCAGATCTCAATCCAATTGAGCATTTGTGGGACAAAGTTAAAAAAGCCACCAGGTAGCTAGCTGGTTCTACAACCATCAAATCTCGCAGAACTGGACAGTGCTATTCATCAGGCATGGTGTCAGATTCCTCACATCACCTTTCAACATCTCGTGAAGTCAATGCCAAGAATCGCCATAGTACTGAAGGCAAAAGGTGGCCCAACAAAGCACTGATGCGGTGGTCATAATAATCTGGCCAATCAGTGTACATAAAAGCCCAGCGACCAGGACAGCAAAATGACTGGAATGACCATAATAATCAGTGACTATGATGCACACTGCAGCAGCCAACCAGCCTGATCCAGACCCCAACTGCCTCCCCCCTCCCCCGGCTGGCCTGGCCCCGATTGGCTCCCAACACCTTTGTTGTGAGCCTTTTTGTGAGCCAAATTAATAAATGCTCACTGATTTGATTAGTGAGTCAACATTCGGGTTGAGTCACCTACTGACGCAATAAACCGGGCTGGAGGAAAGAGGGGAAGGAGGAAGGGGGTGAGGAGGAAGGGGTGGGTTAAAGAGGCTATAACTGACACAGCAGCTCAAAGACAGGAGCCCTAAATATCCGAGTGAAGTTACCACGCCCAAATCAAAAGTGCATGAATGAAGTCAAGGAGTGACAAGAAAACCCAGGTTTAGTCTCAAAAAGTAGAGGTCAAATTAAGAGAATCCCACCAACCAGAGGGAGCTTTTCTTCTCCTGGCTAACCCTGCAGGCCAACCTCCCACGGCACCTCTCCCCTGCAGGCCCAGCCCAATGGGCCCCCATTGAGGCAGGCCGGTTGGACCCCATCCAGCATGATTTTATTCACTGGGCTTCTAGTAAAATACAAATAACTAGGTGACAGAGTTTGAGTCATGAATTACTAGCCTCTTAATCTTATAGGCTTTTCCTTTTACTAATGCCTACAAATTCAGACCTAAGTAAATGTATTTCACCAATATAAGATGACATTGATTATATGACTCAACAGTATTTTATGTACCACAGAGAAGAGGGGCGGGGGGGAGCTGACTGGTGCCCTGTCGAGTATGGTTCAGTTGATTGAAGTTCTCTTGTGTACCAAAAGGTCTCTGGTTTAATTCCATTAGGGCACATACCCATGTTGCTGATTCAGTCCCTGGTTTGGGTGCGTGAAGGAGACAATTAATCAATATTTCTCTTTCACATAAGTGTATCTCCCCCACCTTAAAAAAAAAGCTGATTTAATTGTGATTTGGCATCATCTTATGATTCATATCAATTTCAAGGATATTAAATTGTGAAAAATGTATGCACCTTTAAAGACATTAAATACAGTAGTTGATTTTATGGGCTATTGCCTCTCCTTTCCAAATGTCTGTTGACTTATTTTTAATGTAGAATTATAGTTAATGGAACCATACTTTCTGGAAACCAACTGTTTTTTGGTTTCACTGCCTACTAAACATAGCATTTTAGCTAGTTGTTAAAGGTTAAAATTTCAATGTCTCACCAGACACTTCACTGCTACATCAAATGGATAATTTTGGGAATGTGAACATTTGGTAGGAAAACAGGAACAGGTGGGCTGGAGAAAAGACAATGTCCAAGTTGTCAAACATTGTTTTCAACATTATAAGTTTTTAAATTTGAAAAACCTTATACTGTAAAGAAATACTACCTGTTCTGGAGCCTTAAAAATATTTTTAAAAAGACCTTAAAAGGAGCTTGAGAAAACTTGTCAAGACAAATTTTATTTTTTTCAAGTTACAAAAATATGTGCATGTCAAAAATACAGTCTAGTCCATATATGAGTAGTTCCAGCCATTTAAAAGTTATACAGAATTTTGGGGAAAAAATACCAGTTCATACACAAGTCTCAAAACATTCAGTTCATGAATAGTATACAACCATTCATTTTACTTATTGCTAGTTATATGCAGCTCTACTTAAAACTGGTCTCCACAAATGAAAGGGCAGTGTTTGGGCACTCTTAACTACTGCTGTTAAAGATGTGGTCTTTAGAAAGCCAATTTAAAATCAGAGTAAGCTCATTTTGAATAAAGCATAAGTTTTGGTTAGTACTATAAGAGGGAGTGGTCAAATTCCAATTGTACTCCCTTCTTCTATTTAATTCTATTTTATTAATATGTCAGAAATATAATGTTTGATCTTGGGTAAGATTGAGTGAATTACTGGTTTTCAAAAGAAGTAATAAGAAACATTAACTTTGAGCTGCAATATACAAACAAATATGGCACATCTAGCTTAAAAACATTAAAACAACAAATTCAAGAATGAAAAAATATTTAAAATTTAAAAGCCAAAGCTGTATTTCTTTCTCTTTAGATGCTAAGACATAAAATGAATCACTTTGAAGTTTATGGGCTAATGAAGATCTGTTGCTCTCTATATTTATTGTTAAAAAGATAAAGAGTTAACTACATAACTAGAACATGTTTTAAAAAAATCTATTTGCTCATAATGCCATATAAAAGAACAAATCCTAAAATTAAATAATTGTGGCTTTAATGAGCAAAAAAGATAATATAGTTCACAGTGTAAAACAGGAAAGAACTTACTTTGGGGGTGGATAATACATTAGAGATTTTTGGCCTTAAGTTCATATGGAAGACTTAGAAGTTAAGGGTGTCTCAAAGAGAGAACAATGGCTTTGTTTCCAACTTTCCTGTTCGACCCTGCTGCAGGGTCTGGTTTATTGTTGACATTTTACCTCCATAAGTTCTTGAATAAATTGAGATATATATTGATAAGTATGAGGTGAACTGGAAAAACCTTTAAAAGTAATCTTTAGAACAAAAGTGACACTCGTGACCATTTGGCAATGATACTTATCTTAATGACTTAAACTCTAAAAATAGGCTAAATTTTTAGGAGGTAGGAAACAAGTACCAAAAATTTACCATGTGGCCACCCCTTCTAATTTTTGGCCAACTACAGTTCTCTATATTTCTCACTCCATATTCTCCCATTTAAAGCTATTAGACTCACTAATATTCATTACCTAAAGTTAGAAACCTGGAACTGCCATGAAAAATCTTTATAACAAGTTTTGCTTATAAGTCACTAAATATATCCAATACCCAGGTATCAACTAAGAACATATTATACCTCTCTAGTATATTAATTCACTTCATAAGAACATGTTAACATAGAAAACATTAGGTAACACCGAACATCTCTGTGATTCTAATATGTCAAAATAGCTATGCAAACCAAAAGTAGTAATATTTTCATTTGAACTTATTTGAAAACGCCTTATACCAAAATTGTATCACCAGTGTTGACTGAAAATACATATGTGTTCTATTACAAAATTAACCTAACCAAAAAAAAAAATGCTCTACTTCCTCCCAGAGAATTATGTTGTGCTGATATCCTGTAGATAGTATTATAAAAAGGATTTCATTTTTGCAATAGGCTGGGCTCACAGTATGTTAGTACAGAGATCATGTGTTTATAATATTACTATAAGTATGTTATCAGTGAAATGTATGTAAGGCAAGTAAAATTCTAGCATTAAAGCTCTTAAGGGCAATAACCCAAACTGGCAGCTGCTAAAAAGATGCTGCTAGGAATTAAAACTACAATGAAATGAATTAATTAACATAAACTTGTTGCTGAAACTAATGGACTAAAGGAAAATGGACTTTCTTCCCTTTAACTAGTACTAGCCCAATCTTGAAAACGGAAGCAATCACTTGCAATCTTCCACACAGTGTTGTTAGGAGTAGTCTGAGCAGTCAGCAGGAAATTCTGATTGAAGAAGTGCTGTCTGTTTCCATCAAACTTCACAGTTCCACTGGTCACAACAAGAACTGTAGTCTGGGCCTGAGTAGCTTGCTCTTTACATACACACACACACACACACACACACACACACACACACACACACACACAAAAAAAAAAAAAAAAAGGTTGGTTTCCATCTCTAAATAAGCAGATTTTCAGGTTTAAAAGACATTGCTCATAATTTAACACTTAAAAAACATTTCATGCCCTAACTGGTCTGATTCAGTAGATAGATTGTCGGCCAGCAGACTGAAGGGTCCTAGGTTCGATTCCGGTCAAGGGCACATACCTTGGTTGCGGGCACATCCCCAGTAGGGGGTATGTAGGAGGCAGCTGATAGTTGTTTCTCTCTCATTGATGTTTCTAACTATCCATCTCCCTTCCTCTCTGTAAAAAAAAATCAGTAAAATATATTTAAAAAAAACATTTCATAGACTTTCTTTACTTTCAGCATACTGTTAAGCATGTACACCCAAAGCAAAAAAAAAAAAATTCTTTTTAAAAACATTAAGTAATCATTTCAAAGATACTAAAATTATTTTCTGTCCAGAAAGATTCTGTGTACTAAAGTTTCAAAATAAAGAGCTTATATTTATTAATATTTCATTGGGTTCCTAACAGAGCTTTTTCATGTTTTGCTTCTTAATCCACAGCTGTTTTAAAAACTGTAAAGGAAAAAGAAATCTCCCTAACCTACTAGAGAAAATTAGGGCCCACCTAGAGGTTAATCTTATAAATGGCAGCAGTCTATATTAAACCTAATTCCATGTTGCCAAAAATCCTTTCATGTAACAAAGTAAAAAGTTTCTTCTGTGAAATTTTAATAAATTGTAAGATAATAAAACACATTAATTAGGGATATAGTATAACTTTTTTGGAGACATTTCAATGCATAGAAGGCAACTAATTAGAGAAAATATATAATTATTTCTTTCCATCAATAAAAGTCACATTTAGCTTCAATTTTCCACATAAATGTTAATAAATTATAATCACACAACCCACCAAAACATACTAGTGACCTGCTGGAGTGAGATAGGTCTAAAGGATACCAAAAGTTTAATTTGATAGCTCAGTGCTCATTAAAGTAAAACAAAAGAAACACTTTGAAAGACCATGCTCTTACCATGCACTGGTTGGCAATCTAACATATTAACCTGGAATTCACTAGAAGGCAACACCTCAAAAAAATTAGTTAAGGCTTCCAGCCCTGAAACAACATTTCCATTCCATATTAAAGTGGCCTTGTCCAGGTACAGACGGGTCAGTGCCTAAAAAAGAAAGGTAAAAGAAAGGTGAAAATAGTTTTGTTTCTGGGAAAGCATTTTAACAGAAATGAACTGAAAGGTTATGAGTGATATACAAACATTTTCATAGTTCTATATCAATCTCTACTCCCCTGCCCCCTTGCACTGGAATACAACATGAACACGGTTTACTCTTAATAAACTGGGCAACTAAATATACTTTTATATTTCACTTTAGCCACAATGAGAAAACTATGCATCCAAACTGGAAAAGTTTTAAAATTTTGCTTTCTGTATTTAAATGAATTAAATGGTCACAAGTTTCAAGCACCTACAGCCCAAAGCAGTTTTATCTCCCTCCTTTTTCTAATTGAGAATTAACAAAGCTATCTTCCATCAGGCCCTATCTGCACACTTTAATCCTAGTGTTTACATACATGGAGTCATTTCATGTCCTAGCCATTTAAAGTTGTATGTGTTAGGAAGAATGGGCTCTTTTTACTACTTATATTTAATTCAAAAGAATCACCAGTACTTGCTAAAGCAGTTTTTTATAAGTCAAGTTAAAGCTTCACTAAGGCAAGATTCAACAGTTAACTCTTTAGTCACAGCAGTTTAGTGTGTCACAGGACTCTATTTGCTTAATTCTAAAATTTATCTTGGATTAAAAGGCCAACACATATATTGACTCTGGTTTTTTTTTGTTTTTTTTTTTGCTACTTTATTTTGAAATCAGGAAGGCACAATAAACATCCATTGTCACATCCCTTATCCCTGGTCTCATGTCATAAAAAAAATCAGTACCAGGAACCTCTTTTATCTTCTGTCTTAAAAAATACATTTTTAGATATAATGTTAGCTTCTGTGCCTGCTAACTATTTTTGAGAAAGTACTCTAAAATACAATTCTGTACTGATAAGAGACCTAGGCAAGATTGGAGCACATACTGAAATAATTACTTAGAAGATGTGGCTCAGGGACAAATTAGAATGAAAAAAGCTGACAAAGTGGTAAGTTGTTCTTTTGAACACTAAAAGTATCCAAGTCATGAGGATTATGCTTGTGAATGCCAGCTACAGCTGTGAGGTTTAATTTAAAAATTATCTATTAATATATTCCATTGAAGGGACAAATCGGGGAACATTCCCTATAATGTCAGACCCCTTCATCAGCACTAATACTATTTTAACCAAAGTGAAGTTATTTGGGAGTGAGAAAATGTAACATATTTAAATAAATATTTGTTAGGTCCTTTGTTAAGTGCAGGATTTAAATTCCCATTTACCACTCTAAAAATAAAGTGAGGTTAAGAGAGGTTAGCAACTTGCCCAAGGTCAGAGATAGGTAAACACAAAGCTGATACACACATACACACACACACACACACACACACACCTATCTTTATAGTTGAAAGTATTACAGCTGTCCCTTTTTCCCTCATTGACCCCCTCCACTCCACTCCCACTCCCCAGGCCTTCATGGCACTCTTTTCTGTGTCAATAGGCTATGTATATATGCATAGACATTCTTAGGTTAATCTCTCCCCACCACTCCCTTCCCTCTGAAATGCACCAGTCTGTTCAATATCAGAGTTATCACTTATGCAAGTCAGATGAATGGCTGGATTGAAAAAAGAAATAGTATTTAATAATGAGTAATATAGCCTATAACTCTCACCCGTCTTCTTTTGTCCATTGTCTCATAGTAAATATTGACAAATTCCTCAGCGGCTTTACATGCCTGGTCTACATAAGTTTTAAAATCCTACAAGAAAAATTTTAGAAGTATACATTACTATCCATCCACAAACACAAAATCACCAACAGAAGCTGATGATTTATTTCAATCACTTTGCAGCTCTGTACATACTCCACATTCTTCCATATAAATGTTTACATTTTAAAGGCTTAGGGCTCAAAAGTTTCTAATTTTCACTACGTTTGGGTATACATATTTAGGACATGCTTGTCCCTCAGTGCATCTGATATACTGTATTTTTCCTCACTTTAAATATAATTTTATAATCTTAACTTGAAAACTGGTACTTCAGTAATTACTTTAGGCTTCCAATATTTTACAAAACATTCACCGTAATAAAAATATTACAGCCAGAAACTTTTAAAAAGTGAGGGTGGAAGAATTGCCACTGAATAAATTTGGAACGTGCTGAGTTCTTTTTTCAAAAGAGGCATATTATGACCAAAATCAAATTGTTGAATTAAAAAAAAAAAGTATAGTAACAATAAAGTTCAATGAACTACTTGAAAAATTAGATACTTAGGAAACTTCTTCACATTACATAAAAATTTACCAGCATTTCCAAAGAATTGTAAAACCGAAAAGAAAAGAAAAGAAAAGAAAAGAAAAGAAAAGAAAAGAAAAGAAAAGAAAAGAAAAGAAAAGAAAAGGGGTTTTCTCCCGCAGGGAAAAAACCTTCCCTAGGCATTTACCCAGCCCAGCCTACTATTTCAATTAAGAACTACGGTAGTTTCACTTCTAGCTCAGTTGATCAAAATTATATAGAGGGAAATAATCCAAAAAGGAGTTTGCAAGCCATAAACGACAGACCCCAACATGCCCGCCTCTCGCTAGCTCCCATCTCAGGGTCCTTTCCAGCATCTTAGTTTGCACAACCCAAGGGAATAAGAAGTCTGCAGCTGGAGGTCGCAGGCAGCGGGTGTGGGAATGGAGGGGGTCTGCGGAGAGCGGGCCCCGCCCCGAGCCCGGCGGGCCAGCCCCTGATTCGCTACTCGGTCACGTGATCGGCAGCCACCCCTGCCCAGCGACCCTCCCCTCAGCCGCCTAAGCACCGGCGCTCCGGCACCCGCTCCAAGGTCCCGGCACTCACCACAGGCATGGCCATCGGGGAGCCTGAAGCAGCCTGCGGAGGCAGTGGCGGCGTCACTACTTCCTCACGTGTCCGGCTCCCCCTGCTGCAGGAAGACCAAGTATTAAGGAAGATAGTGAAACCCGCCAAACATACGGAATCCTTTCCCCGCCCATTCTCTCCCGGAAGTACTTCGGTCAGTACTTAAAAGGATCCCGATGTTCCAACCTTAAGATGCTTCCCTTTAGTTCCGACTGTACCCTCCCCATCGCCCAAGGTATTCGATTTGTTTGATATTTACTTAGTTTGGAAGAAAATAAGTCACTTAGCTTTTTAAACTAGGCACTGCAATGTTGCCACTTTGCCAACCGCAAGCCAGGAGAAAAGCAAAAAGAACTAAGATCCAACAGGGGGAACCTCTTTACTTTAAGAGGAGGGTCCAAGGCTAGCTGAAGACCAATGAGAAACAGAGGAAAGACATACAGGTGCTGCAGCCTATAGGAAAAATGGATGAAGCTTGAAGCGCGCAATCATACTGCGCATGACTAGCAAAGAAAGTTTTAGAATTCTGGAACAATCTGGAAGAATGGATCCAAGTATTGAACCACAACATCTCCATAGTATTGCTACGATAATTCACTATTTGACTTTGCATTATTCAGTGGAAAAAGTTCACCCAATTCTTCCATTCTTATAGACCTAACATGAAGATTTGTCGACAGCGCCATTCACCACCTTCCATAGCCAATTCGTGACGACGAGCAAGGTACTTTTCTAAGCATTTTAACTCATATTCACTTACTCAGTTACAATAACACTATGGCATATTATCTCCATTTTATAGTTAAGACATTAATTTACTGGCTTCAGTCATAAACTAGTTGGAATTCAAGCTTAAGCTAATTTAACTACCTCTGCAAACGCACTTTACTCCCCAGCACCCTTTAAAACGGCCCATGTCAAAGCTTCGAACAACTTCTGGGGATTCAAATCAATTAAGTATCTCTATAATCTTACCTTGAGTAACTGCTTTGCGACGCCTCATAATACCGGACATGATCACGATCACGACCATGGTCTCGATCTCGGTCATGGTCCCGGTCCCAGTGTCGGTAATAGTCTCGGTTACGGTCACTCCTTCCTCGATATCCTCCTTGATACCAGCCTCTTTCAAATCGTCTCATATTCTTAACCTATCTTTTCCCCACCCCGTTTGTCTTTCCTTTGCCTAGTTCTAACTGCCGCTTTTTTCCGAGTACCTTCTCGTCTCCGAATTCCTCTCCAACGGTACTTCTGAACGAACCTTCGATTTAAAGCTACAGTCCTCCCACGTGTTCTGGATTGTTACATATATGCTAATTAATCTCAACGACACATCTCGAGCCCCTACCTCTGCTCTGAGCTCTGATTCCACAAATTGATATGAACACTGCGAGGCACTATAGGCTTCTCAAACTTGTAGAATCCAGAATTTAAACTCGTTATTGCCTCTGCCCTATCAATCTTATGTATTTTCCCCCCCTGTCATTTATGCTTGTACTCCTGGAATATTTTTGGGTCCTCCCATTATCATGTTTCATTCATTAATTCAGTAAATGTGTATTAAGTGCATTCTGTGGGCCAGACACTGTACAAGGCTCTAAATATAGAATAGTGAAAAAAAAATAGACTTGATCTATAGCTCATGAAGCTCAGAGTGCTAGACAATAAACAAAACATGAATGAATTACAAAGGAGTTCCAAGTACTTGTCCATCTTTAAAGCAACCCCTCTGTCTCTCTCCTCTGCATACAAATTTTGACTTTGCTCTATTCTCATTTTTTTCTTCTAAAATTTTCCTAATTTTTAAAGACCTACCTTTGTCTGGTCTCAATTTACCTTTCCAAACTTTTCTCCCATTATTCACAAATATGGGCAAAGTTAACTACTACTGTTTGTGAAAAAAAAAAAAAAAAACCCTCATATTTATTGCTTAATAGTTGATTGTGTTTTTTATTGAAAGCTTAGAATGTGTCTGGTGTTTATTATTATTTCATTCAATCTTCCCAGCCTCTGGAGAGGGAATATTATTATTTAGATTTTTAAGAATTTAAACAGAAGTTTAAAGAGGTGTAAATTGGCTATGATGATACAACTAAAGGAGCTGAGATTACAACCCACAACTCTCTTTGCTCTTAGAAAATTTACTATTCATGCATTTGTTTGTAGTATGCTTATTTTGGAATGTTTGTTCCCTCCATTTATATCTGCCCTTCAGAGTCCAGGACAGGTAAAGTCCTCTTCCATGAAGCCTTCTCTCATTTCACATCCCCAGAACCCCAAAGAATATTATCTCTCCTATGGCTTTTGGTGTGGGGCAATAGTGCCAGGGACTACAGTAGTGTTGAGTACTGAAAAGGGACAGCTGGTGGCTGTGCAGTGAGTTTTAGGGGCCTCAGGCTGTTGCAAGGTAGGGCAAACTATCCAAGCCCATGCAAAGCAGAAGCTGTGCTGGGGATGGCTCAGTCCCAAAAAAGGACATGAAGGCCCTTCCCAGACCCTAGTGGTACAGGTTCCCGCCTCTTTACTAGGCCTCTGCCAGCACCAGCACCATAGCTCACACAGCCTTTGTCTCTGACTGAGGCAGCCTCAGGGTCATTCTCCTCTCCAAACTAGTCACCAGTGCACCTTGGAAAATTTGGGTTTTATTGGAACCCTTCTTTGCTTAAAGCCCTTCAGTGGCTTCCCATTATCTTTGTCCTGTGTCCGGCCAGTCAGGCCCTTTTCATTTCCTCCATGAGCTAGGCCCCTGAGCTACACAGGGCACTGTACCAGGTATTCACAGTGCAGAAATCAGAGGAGGTAAAACAATTACCATAGATGACACAAAAGAGACCCAAGGGTGCTTGAGTCTTACTGTGGAGTGTGGTCTAGGTGCTCAGTTTCTGCCTCTCAGAATGTTTCAACATTGAGCATGACAGGCACATGCATATGTGCAAAGGAAAGAAGGAGGTGCTTTCCTTTAGTTAAAAATATAAATTTTAAATGTAATTAAAGCCCTGGCTGGTGTGGCTCAGTTGGTTGGAGCATCTTCTCGTGCACAAGAGGGTATCTGGGTTGTAGGAGGTAACTGATGCTTTCTCTCTCTCTCTCTCTCTCTCTCTCTCTCTCTCTCTCTCTCTCTCTCTCTCCATTTTTTTTTTGCTGTAAAATAATATATATTTTTAAAATGTACTTAAAAACATTTGGTCACTTAATTCTGGAAGTGAAGGTTGTTTGTGGATCCCCAGCCAGTCAGTCATTCCCATGCCCATGAAGAGTTCTGGACAGACCCAGACTCTTTTCATCTTTTATACTTTACTTTCCTGTCTCTAAAAAAGCATTAGAGCTCTTGACACTTTTTATAAGTTTTAAAATGCTTTTCAAGACTATTTATGTAATTAGCTTTGAACTCTCAACAGAGACTCTTGTCACTTACCTCTGTATTAATCACATATTCACCAGCATGTGTGAGTGAAGTAGGTGTCACTGCCCACCCCACCTCCACCCCCACCTCTAGATGAAAAAAGAAAAAGGACAGCTGAGCTAGAAGTAGAGGAAAGGCTCAGAGTTTTGCACTGAATGCTTGCACATCATTTTGGATACTTCTATTAATGTGCTACTAGGGTGGGAGGCTGGGTAAACTGATAATGTAGAAAACAATGTTGGGCTCTGGTCAGAACAGTGAATCTGAACCTTAAGAAAACTATGCTTGGTGGAACAAATGGGAAACAGGTGAATAAGACTCAAAATTGCTCTTTATCAGATAACTGTGCATATGCAAAAAATGGAGAGAGTGACTAGCAAGGGTGTGAAAGAGATTTTCTTAGAAACACAGAATGGCATATTGGTTAAGCACATTGTTATCAGCATCAATCTGGCTTTAAATCCTTGCCATGCCACTGAGTCACTCTTTGACCTTGGCCAAATTGCCTAAACATCCGATGCCTCAGTCTCTCAATCTGTAAAATGGAAATGAAAGTATTACTACATAGTTCATAATACTGTTGTAAGAATTAAACAAGTCAGTGCTTGGCATACTGTCTTTGCTTGAGGAATATTATAGTAGTATTTTCTTACCCATGGAAGATAAGATTATGCAGCCACCCATTTCAGAGTATGAAGTTGGGACAGATGAGATAAATTTTCGTATATTTAGAGGCATTAGTAAAGTGCAGGAGAGTGATAGGGACCCTGAGATAGCAGATTGCAGGAGTAATAAAATGGGTTGATTAGGATTACGTGTGGACGTGCTGTGCAGCCTTGTCTCCTGGTCAAGTGTAAGCCTAAGGGAATTAAAGCTGTTTTGAGATACTGTGGGGTGGGCAGTGACACCTACTTCACTCACACATGCTGGTGAATATGTGATTAATACAGAGGTAAGTGACAAGAGTCTCTGTTGAGAGTTCAAAGCTAATTACATAAATAGTCTTGAAAAGCATTTTAAAACTTATAAAAAGTGTCAAGAGCTCTAATGCTTTTTTAGAGATTTTAGCTAATTACATAAATAGTCTTGAAAAGCATTTTAAAACTTATAAAAAGTGTCAAGAGCTCTAATGCTTTTTTAGAGACAGGAAAGTAAAGTATAAAAGATGAATCTATATCTTTCTCTGGACTTGATAAGGACAAGTCAGTAACAACTAGGGAAGTGATCTGAGCAGTCAGCCCCTTTCTCTCAGGTCTCTAATTGGCAACCAGCCTCTTCACATTAAGTTTTGTGCTTTTCTAAGTTAGCCAGGTGCCTTTCATCTGTTCACATTAGATAGGGCTTTAAAAACAAGTTAATTATTATATAATTCACATACCATTCAATTTATCCATTTAAGGTATACAATTCAGTGTTTTTTTTAAGTATATTTACAGTTATGCAAGTATCGCGATGAAATGTAGAAACATTGTCCTGAAAATAACTCCCTTTTCCATTAACAGTCAGTTCCCATTTCTCTTTCACTCCAGCTCTTGGCACCATCAATCTAATTCCTATTCTACACATTTGCCTATTATAAACATTTCATATA